GACGAGGCCCAGACCTGGCCCAAATAAATCCGACCTGGGAGCACAAAGGAAAGAGGAACTTTGCCACCAGTTTCAAGATGCCACCAGGCACCAGCCAAGAGCTTTTTCTGCCCTCCAAAGGCAGTTACTCTGGGGAGCAGAATTCTCTGCGGTCCAAGAGAAGCCCCAATTTTGGATAAAATAACTTAAGCACACAGAAGAGTTGCAAATTAAATCTACGGTTTTCTAGTTTTAAGACAGCCAACAATACTTTTAGGAGGAAAAAAAATCACCACAGTCCACAAATTCAGGTAAAAAAACAAAGCTAAAAAACAGTTGACAAGTGTGACAAACTGGTATTAAAACAAAGACATCTTGTCAGTGCCCACAAGGAGTGTGTGTATTGGTACTGGACTGGCTTCTGCTTTCCAGAACTAGTCCTTCACATAAAGTAGGAGAGCACAGCACACGAGTGGATGAGAAGCAAGGTGGTTTTCTTCCATTGCACAGGCAGTGGCAGCAGCAGTGAGAGCAACAGTTACCTTTTCTCCATTGGAACTGTAAACCACACACTGTTTTACAACACAATGTACAGAAGTAAAAGAACAGTCCATAAAAGTTCCCCAGAATATAAAATGCAAAACTATACAAAAATAGATAAAATTGACAATTTTCTTATGCATATATAAAAAAAAAAAAAACAAGAAACCCAAATTTCCCAAAATGCAATACAGAACTACTTGGTAGACTGACCTGAATATCAGCGATTTAATCTGCAATTTAATAGCCACATTTCACCATCTTGAGTCAAAGTCTTTCATGCTGGGGGAAATATTCCGCTATTTTCCAGGAAATTTGGGGGAAGAGTTATTTTTTTTAATGCCTTAGCAAGACAAATTTGCTATTCCTGGCTTTTCTGAATCATTGCTGGCCCAACAGACCTCATCTTCCTCAAAAGCTGCAACTGCTACTCTCGAGTCTCGGTTCCTCAGGTAAGTCTACGTTTTACCAGGTTAAGGCTTCATCCAGAAATCACTAAAATTGCTGCAGTTCTGAGAGCTCAAACTGACTCCAACTTATCTGCCATACAAGGAGTCAGGCTGGAAAACTTTCCCCTTTGGGTTTAAGGGGCGGCTGTAAACGCTACAGGACTGGCAGTAGTGTAGAACAGCTCCCGGCCAAAAGGAGCTTCCCAGGCTGGCAGAGCTCCTCTCCCCCGAGAGAAGGCAGCAATGGATCTGTCCCACTCAAATGTGCCAGAGCACTTACTCAAAACACTCTGAAACACTCAATCCTAGTGGGCTTCAGTAAACAGAGGCCACTACGCGTAGCTAGAGATCAATAACAGCCTGCTAAATTAGAAACAGAACGGAGGGTCACACTTAAATCTTACCCTTCCACTCCAAGATTCATTGCTTTAGAAAGGGTGGGGGGGGAAGTGCACAAGTACTTCCCCCCTCCAGGGGCTTCAGTGTTAATTTTGATTACGCAGTTGTGCGAAGTCTCTCCTAGAACCATGGAGGGGACAAGGACAAGGTGCAGGAGCTTCTATTTGGCACTCAGTAAAAACAAGCAACGCAAGCGGAGAGGAGACAGGATCCCCCCGCTGCCCGGGAGGGCGACCCAAGCAGTCGGCCTCAGCTCAAGAGCAAAAGCGTCGCTTCCACTTTCTTAACCAGCATTCAAGAAATCGTCGCTTGTCATTCCACCCCCTTAAGGGCATTTCCAAATTTCATTTCTGAATTTAGGAAGAACTTAACAGTCCCTTGATGTTTGTGGGGAATATTTGCTCCTATACATTCCTTGGCAGACAGATATTTTAGGAAGAGCAGTACATTAAGCAATGAAATCCAATCTCTCTGCAGCAGTGAAAGTTTACAGACTGGGTTAGGATATTGAAAATTCTTCTTTCTTTGGGTTAACGGGGCAGAATACTCCAATAATCCAGTAAATTAGCTCTCAAATGCTTTTAGGAATCTCATATTAAATCAATAGATATCTACTTCATTTAGTTCAAATCAAATTAAGAGGACAAACCTTTGGTATTAAGTCAGCTTATCAAGTCTTGGCTGCATTGCTTTCACACATTAGAGTCTAAAAACGGTTTTCAATAAACTCTCTAGTACGTACCTACAACCAAAATAATTATTATTAGACATGCACTTGCAACTGAACATTCATTTTTAGCACTGAGACACTTTCATACTTCACCAAAAACTTTGGCAAAGACTGCACCATTTATGAACAAAACACTAAGCAAAACCCCTAAAACCTACAAGATGCCTTTGGTGACACGCTAAAATATGATAAAAAAAAGTTCTTAAAAAAATGCAGTAAGAGGCTGCTGCTCAGGCCAAACAAGCACTGTGAACACCTATATATGTTACAGTAACTCTGGTGTTGCTGGCAGTATCTGCTAGTGACGTGCTGGGGGTTGCAATGGACCTCAGCTACGATGCTGAGACCTGGACCTGTGCTTACTCGACGTGAGGGAGCCCTCGAGCAGTCCCATGCCAATTAGGTGTATTAATTACCAGAGACACCCTCGAGCCCGGCTCGCAGGGCACTGATGCACATGCTCCCGGGCTGCCTAAGGACTCCTTCCCAAGTCAGGAGTGGGGACCTGCACCAAGCCCCTCGCTGCCGGGGTGACCTTTCCTTAGCTAAACTCATTATCATTAAGGGAGGCAGATGACAGAGCACCTCATGTATGGACTGATGGCAGCCATGTGTCCACGCGCCTGCCACTATGGACAGCAGCGCCGAGCGTCACCAAGAGCTGAAGGTGCCCCAAGAAATCTTTTTTGCCATGACAGGGCTGCACAGAGGGCAGGAGGAACAACATGGCACAGCAGGTGCCCCCAGCGACTCCCTGTGGAAGGACCGAGGCTCCCTGCAGAGCGAAGCTTTAACCCCTGGGACACACAAAGGGGTCCACATGGGCCTCAGGAAACAGGCACGGACACAGAAGTGTTGAAAAGCCAAGCCTGGCCTTGCCCTTCTCCTCTTCTGCGGGGATACTGGAGGGCAGGATCCGAAAAAGTCTCTTCTCCATAAGAATACCAGGACCTCGCTTTCCTGGAAGAACAGAGCAAAACACTCTCTGCCCACCCTGCCCTGGGGGCCTTGGCACTCTGTAACACAGCGACGCCAGGGAGCTGCCTCCTTTTCCAGCTGCAGCCACCTCTGTAATTGGGTGATGGATAGGGAGCAGCACCCACCTATCTGCTTCAGCAGAAATGGCTTGGAGTCAGCAACGAAATCAAGTGAGGGCTGAACAGAGCTGCCATTCCCCCCATAACCTGCTACAACAGAAGGGAGAACATTGTGACATTTCCAATGTATTTGTTTTTCTTTAAGTGCTGCAAACTCTGCCCAAAAAAAAGCGGAGAAGGGGCAACTTGGGAAGAACTTGGACTTCCTCACTCGCTGAATGGAAATCAGAATGGAGAACTTTAACAAGAGCAGAAAGAGGATCCGTAAGTCACAGAAAGGAAGATCTGCTTTAGAGACTAACATATGACACATCAAGAGGGACACAGGAGACGTCGGGACAGGTATGAGCTCTGCTCCAACAGCCTGAAACAGATGTTTCCAAGAGCTCACACAGCCTCTTCCAAGCAGAGTGCATCTCCTCATTGCCCTCCTCCACACTCCTTGAAAGAGGCAAAAAAATGAAAAAAACAAAAACAAAAAACAAAAAACAAATGACTGCAGCAACCTCCAGCGTTTTTTGTTCCCTCCAGCTAGGAGGAAGAAATTGTGAAGCCTAATTTAGGCTGTGTTACATCCTGTATTCCAACTAACAGAATATTTTCCTCATATGGGACTATGCAAAGAAAATAAACATAAAATTAAAAAAAAAATCCCACAAAACTTCCTTTTGAAGAAAGTAACAGTATCCGCAACTTCACAGCTACAGGCACAATCCCAATTTAGCTTATTTCAAACCTGCTACGTGTGCCCCATGGCCTGGGTGGGGGCTAGGAATGTGGGACAAAGCAAAAGTTTCCACTGAAGATTATGCGGCATGAAAACAGACCACTACAAAGAAAACGGGATCGACACTTTGTTCTTAAAAGGGACACCATCAACTGAACATCTCTATGAGAGTTATGCTTTAAGTGAATTAAAACTAGAGCTGGGAAAGTGTTATCAGCACACACACAAAAGCGCCTTCTTTTCTTCTAGGCAGGAAAAAATAAAAGTTACAGCAAAGTTCCCCTCTCAGCTGAATCACTTCCCTTCCTTGCTCTCCTTCAGAATAACCCACATGCTTCCTCTCAGCTCCACCGACTCGCATGATGGAAGACAGCGAAAGCCTGTCCAGGATGAAACATTTCACGGGGATGACAAAGAAGTTGGGGGAGTTTTCACAAGACTCGCACCCCAAGCTGCACTGGAGAACTGGTCATTTGGGGAATGCACCCAAAGCACCACCACACTCTGCCCATCTCTGCTTTTCGCTGCCCCTCATTTCACACACGGTCACAGTGCGAGACCCCCAAACACACAGAAAAGGACCTTCACACCCAGCACAAAGCAAGTTCACAGGCCAATGACATTTTTCAAATCTCTTAAAACCGTAAGGCTCTTGTTTCATTTCTCTCTTTTGAAGTTGATGGTGTCCCTTTAGCTAAACCTGCAGAAGACAAACCTGCCATACTAGAAATGTGTCATTTCCAGACTTTATTCTAGCAACAATGGGACTGTGCACCGTTAGCACACTCTGCACTGTGTTCTGTACTCAAGAGGGGTGATTTGCACTGAAAGGGTAAAAAGAAGAAAAAAAAAAGTGCCTCAGTGTTAATCTATGAATCTAGGAGGTTGCATCAAATCAAACCAAAGTACCTGCAGCAGCGCAGAATGGCAGCAGCATGGACACTATGTACTGCAGCTGCAAGAAAGTTCATCTTTGTTGGCCCAGTACTAATTTAAAGTCACTCGTTAATGCTCACCTTCCTACCCCCCGACCCCTGTCCCCCTTAACCCTTTGCCACCCTCCCGGCCACCCCACGAAGCTATTTGGCTACTGTTACATTCACTGTAGTGCTGTGACAGCCCGCGGGCAGCGCGTGGCCCTGCGCGGCCCGGCCCTTCAGCAGCTCCCTGCCGCCGCTGCCGTGCAGCTCTGCGAAGCTTTTTAAGGTTTCAGTGGTGTCATCGTGAAACTGGGGCACTCCCTGCGCGACACCGACAGGTTTGCACTTGGCCGGTTTCTCTGGGGCCTGAGCAAAACTGAAGCCCTGCGGTGAATCGCACTCCGTTTCTCCCAGCGGTAACACACGAGCAAGCTTTTTGGCCACAATTTCTCCGTGATACCGATAGGGATCGGACACCTCCTGGGACTGTCTAGTATCCGTCTGCAGAGGCAGATTGGATGGTCGGACCAGATGCTTGCTGGGCTCCGCCTCTTGGGGCCTCCTGTCCAAAATCTCTCTAGGGTTGTTTTGGGAATGAGACAGAAAGGGGGGATCCATGTCTGGCTGCTCGGATGGCTCCCAAGCGCTCTCTATCACAGCATCTCTCACAGCTGGAGCAAACCCCCAATGCTTCATCCTCTCAGAAGCCAGATCAGTGTCATACTGGAGATGCTGCAAGCCTGGCCAGCTCAGCACACCATCAACCTCTCCACCTTCAGGAGCAGAGGACTCAGCATCCCCTTTGCTACGGCTCTTCCTCGCTCCATTAGAGCCCTTTTTGCCACTGCCCCATTTAGACCAAAGCTGGCAAGGCTTAAGGCCGTTCTTGGAAACCTGCAGGTCGGCAAGTTCAAACTCCAGGCTCTCTGTGTCCAGTGACCTGCTCCTCCTGTTAATGGACAGCGGTGCTGGCATGGAAGGGCTCAGCCCGTGCAGACGCAGGTGGCGGGGAAGGCTGGCAACACCCCAGTTACAGCTCTGGAAGGAGCCGTGGGGGTATCCTGGAAACATTCTCTCGTCACATTCAGCAAATGACTCTTTCTGTATGTAGCTGTCGTCAAAGGCATCAAAGGATGCTGCAATGTCCTCATCAGCGTTCATCTCCAGATGCTGCTCACACTCCCCTTCTCCCTCCTGCTCCACATCAACAATGTCAAACGTGACCATGGTCGGGAGCACAGGGAGGTTCTGAGTGAAGGAAGAGCCAGAGTCAGAACTACCAAGGCTCTCAGAGAGGCTGGAAAAGAGGGTCCCGCTGCTGGTGAACTCCACTAGAGCTTGGGAGAAGTTAACAGCATGTTCGGGTTCACATTCGCTTTCTACCTGGGGTTCCCTGGCAGCAGTTTCTACCCCTTTGTGGTGGTCACTTTGCAAACAGCTATCATGCTCACGGGTTCTGTAGCTGGGGAATGTCCCTGTTTTGCCTGGGGCTAAGCCACCATGGGGAGAACCACTAAACACCACGTGATCCAGGCCAGAATCATATGTACTGTTGTTTTTCATGAGCTGAATAAGGCCACTTCCTTGGGCTTTTTGGCTGTTGTAGCAGTTTTCTGGACATAAGGTCCCTGGAAAATCCCTCCACTCTGGATTTTCAATCCTAGCCACTGAAACCCCACTACTCCCACTTCTGTTTGAAGCTTGAGAGGCAAACTGCTCACTACCAAGGCAACTCTGATTTTTGCCAATCAAGTTGGCTGCTCTAGTTTTACATTCAACATTTTGCTTTTCCCTGGGACACTTCTCTTTGCTGGCAACATCAAGTCGCTTCAAGACTGGTTCCCTTTGCAGCTCCCAGTATAGCAACTCTTTCTGAATGGCAGCTAGCCGCTCTTCTTCTGTTTCCATAACTCCACTTTTCTGACCCATCATCTGGATCAGGCTCTTCTCAGCAGGGAGACAGAAGTCTAAGAAGTAGTCAAAGATCTCTGGATGAGACACTTTGCTCTCAAAAAGGGATTCTTCACCCTGACAGGGGCTCATCAGTGTGTCATCAGGCTCATAAAACTCATAAAGTGCATCGCCACTATAACTGTCTCTGGGCAGACGATCCTTCTTGATCTCACCAAGCCCATCTCCAGCTTCATCATCTGGCCCTGGCGTGGTGGAGTCATAATAACCCTCATCACTGTTGGGTGCAGACTCCTGCTGGTCACTCTGGGGTGTCAGGAGTTCCACGTCATCCATCCCCCCCACTGCATAAGGGTGGGCTTCCACCTCATGCAAACCATGGGCGTCTAACTTGCTACTCACCACTGGTGGTTCATGACTGCTTCCAGCTGGAGGCAGTTGGGCATCATAGCTCCTATCACCTTCAGCAGTGCCGTCCCACACCTGCTGGAGGTATTCCTCTGCCTCCTCAGGCATGGCCATCTCCTCCCCACCTCCCTGGTATGTGACGAGGCAGGAGCTCCGTTTAGCAGCATCCCTGCTGCGCTCCACAGAGATCGTGCTCTCAGCAATGCTGAGAATGTCAGGCTCAGCGATGATGTCCCCACACCCTGTGAGGGAATCAAAACTCTTAAGGGATGTGACATCTCCAAAGATAAGGCTTATCTGGTCCCCAGAGTGTAATGAAGGAGGGTCGTTGTCTGCGAAGTCGGCATGAAGGGCCCCAGGGAGGTGGCTGTAATCAGACTCTGTGCAGACAACAGCATCAGCCTCCAATTTTGCATCTAGAATATCCTTGTTCATAGGTGCCACTGCTGCATCTTCCTCAGAGCTGCCTTTATCAGCCAGGAGCCAGTCTGGCTCAGCAGCCTCTCCAAGGTTGGTTGTTGTGCCCACAGAGCAGCTGTCCTCAGAGGTCTCTGGGCAGGCGAGAGGGGCAGGTCTCAGTCCCCCTTCTTCTGGAACTCGTTGGGCTTCAGCTCCCATGCCTTGAGCTTTCTTGGCCTCCTCTGCATCCTCGCTCCACCCAGGGAGCTCTGTTTTCTCACACTCAGCAGCTTTGCTCTTACGGTGGCGCCGGATGCTGTTCAAAAATCCTTTCAGGCCTTTTTTTGGCCTGGGAAAGGACAATGACTTGTCCCCATTGGTTTTCTTCTCACAGCCCTCAATACTCCCTGGTGGAGAGCTGTCCTGCCTGCTGAAATCAACCTTGACACTGCTGTCTATGGCCACATGAGCGCTTTGGGAGCTCGGCAGTGGACAAGGATGCGAATCCCTGCTTCCGCTCACATGGTTTTCTAGCTGCACCCTGCTGCTCTCCTCATACGCAGCACCACTGATCCCATCATGGGTCTTGCTCTTACTGAGCCCCTTTTTGGAGGCTCCTTTCCCTTGGCCTTTGTTTCTGCCCCCAAAGAAACTCGGCAGTGTACATATGCTCCTCTTGCCTCCGAACAGCTTGAAGGCAGTTTTCTTCAGCTTGCCAGGGGGGGCCTGAGGCTGCTGCTGCTCCACAGCTGCAGCAGAGGCATCACTCCATCCGGACAGCCGTTCTCCCGCAGTGTTTTCCTCCTGCTGCTGGTCGCTTTCCTTGCGTTGCCTGCAGATCACAGACTGGGACCTGTTCCTACCAGCCTCCTCCGTGCAGTCTGTTTCCATGGCAGCTGCTCGGTTCAGGTGTATCTAGCTGGAAACAACGACCTCCGTAGCAGAGTCTTCTTCAGGGCGCACGGACCAAAGCATCATGACTGATCTAAAGCAAAGAGAGAAAGAAGACGTGAGGAGACAGCAGCAAAGTCACTCGAATAGGTGCAACCAGGCAAGAGACTTCCACACCAGCTGGTATGGTAACTGCTGACACCTCCAAGAGCTTCTCTGCTTGCTCCTCCCATTAAAGCATGGCATGAAAACATCACGCTGCTTGTATTTACCAGTTTGCTAGATCAGGAAATCCACATGTTTCTATTTGGCAGTAATATTGCTTCCTGGGGACAGACAGATCGACCTCAGAGCCACCTCATTCTCTGGTGGCTCTCTCCAATCGCACTGCCCTCACAACCCTTTACCAAGGCAGCTATTCAGTCCAGCAACAAAAGCCACCCCATACGGGAAGCAAGGCCTCTCCAAGGGCACTGAAACCTGCCCAAATTGACCTCCAGTTCTGCCACATGTGGCAACAAAATGCAGGAAGCTTTTTGACAGAGAATCAAACCAAGACACGTGCGTACTAAAAGGTCTGCATCCAGTGTTTCCAAAGTAATTTACTGCACCTGCTTTTTTTCCCCACACTACATTTCACTTGTTCTTAAAATCATCTTGCAAGCAAGAAAGAATTGCACTAAAACCAGTTCACTACAACCACCCTTATCAGGGGGAAGAAAGATTTTAACCATGAACCTGTATTTATCACAATAACAGAAGAAATCAAATAATAGTATTTTTTTCACAGAGGTAGGATTGGAGAAAATAAATCCATCTCAAATTGTAATGCACTGCTGAGCTTTAATACCTGAGGCTTAGCTCTTAGTGGTATGAGGCCAGCAAAGCTTTCAGGGAGTTTACCCGGAGATCCATAATGACAAATACACCCCAAACCACAGCCTCTAGCTCCTGTAAGAGCAAACCTGCAGAGAAAGATATTTTTTTTATATGGAGCCTTGGCAGTCAGAATGGAGAATATCACAACATTTATTTGCCTCTACAATTAACAATAACCCCGGTGTTCACCCTCCTTACTAAAATTAGCAGCTCAGGAAAACAGATGGGACAGGATATAATTATATTAAAGCAATGACTTAGCAGAGCGTTACCATGCGCAGGTACCCATTTGCAGATCACATCCTTCTCCCTTCCCTCCGCCGAGCGCTGCGAGGACAACGTGCCTGCCAGGCAGCCCGCAGCACAGGCAGAGGAGCCTTTGGCACGTCCTGTCCCTGTATTTACACACGCCGAAGGGCCGTACGCAGCGGGCCCAAATTCCACCTTCTAATTCCAACCTCGTTATGTTTCTGTTGGCTGGCTCGAGCCCTTGGGGGCACCAAGCCAACTGGAAGTGACAGGCTCAAAGGCACGAGTGTAATTCAGGCCTGCTGAATGTAACCGTCAGTTGGCCGACACTTGGGAGGCAGGAGAAGAGCGTTTGGATCTGCAGGCCCCACTGATGCAGGCTACTTTCTTCAGCGGATTCATCACTGTAAATATATCCCTGGTAGAGAGCAAACTGCTCAGACACCTCAGCCTCAACTCACGCTCAACCTAGAGCCCTTCCAGAGCAACGTGGTGTCCCCCCAGCACAACCCTAGGGTTGTTCTGGGGCCCATCTACTGCTTTCCCAAAGTGCAAAGGGGGCTGCTGGAGCAACTCCAGAGACTCTCCAGAGCACACCTGGGGCTCTAGATCCTTTCTGGAGTGCAGTGTGTCACCAGAGCCTATTTTCATTCATTCTTTGAGCTTTCCTAAGGCTCTTCTTGAGCACATTGCCCCTCAGCGCTTTTCTGAGACCTCACTGGACCACTTCTTAGCACCTTTGGCTCTTCTGGGGCCCTTCCAGAGGAGCAGTGGAGCTCTCCTAGGTTCGTGGAGTTTCTCTGGAGAGTCCTGCTTAGACAGGGCTTAAAGAAAACAGCGAATAGACATCTGTGTGGACATGACGTGTTTAAAATGTGGGGAAAAACTGAAACAGAATCAACATTTTCAAAAATGCCGATCAAAAGTAAGATTGTCCTGGCTCTGTGTCAGCACTGACATCAATAAACGCTCACTGCTGTGACCACACTTCTATTTATAGGCACTAGAAAAACTGACGCCAAGGGCAAACAGCTGTATCAATGAAATATGGAAATAGGTTAAAACCCAGAAATAAGAGGCAGCACTTCACCGACATGCAGCTTTCTGGGGTGGCCAAGGGGGATAGGGGAAGGAAGTTGGATTAATAGGTCTGTCCTGGGTAGGAATAGGGCCCTTGCCCACCACTCAGGCTGGATTTGGGAGATTGGCAGAGCATAGCTGTGCAATGGGATGCTCTGCTCCCAAATCAAGCTAGAATCATCACACTCCTTCCTCCAGCATTGCCTGGGCACCAAGGACACACAATAGGACAGACCCTGACAGAAAGGGGACAACAGTCAATCAGTCCCTTGGCAAATTCTACCTGACTGTGGGATTCAGAGCTAGTGCTGACCAGGCTGGGCTGTAGCAAACAAAAGTGGCACTGGTGCAGCCACTCTGGTCTTAGACGTCACTGCATAGGTCTCTGCTTATGCTGAGGTACCTGTCAGAGCTGCAGGACTTCACAGAGTAAAAACGAACACATAAAAATGTAAAAGAACAAAAACAAATGTTTCTCCCAAATACTTGCTAAAGAAAGAATGACCTTCATGAGCTCAGGCTTATGGGTGGACTCGATCTTGAAGGTCTTTTCCAACCATAATAATGCTACAATTCTATGAACTCAGTTGGGCTCTTCAAGTCTTGAAGAAAGCATCCACGGAAATTCACAGCCGCCAGAGCATTAAACAAATAAATAAAACAGGGGGCAGAAGAGGAAAGTCTAGCCTGTACCAAAAGCCTTGGGAAAGCACCATGGTTTTATCCCCTAAATACACCTCGGTCTTGGGCAGCTTGTCAAGTCTCTCCCTTTCATGCAGACACCTCCTATAGCAAACAGGCTGCTAAATCCTCTCACTGCGTTGCGCCAGAGATTAGCTTGGGTGACTGATAGCAATCAATGGCTGGCCCTATCTCCGCCCCAGCTGCAGCATCAGCAGCGCGTCTCCCGCTGCGGGCTCGCTCTCTGCAAGGCCAGAAACCCGCCAGAAATCCCCCGTGAACCCTCGCTGCAGGACCCCACCACACAGCGTACCCCTGGCCTCGTCAGTGCTGGGGGGCAGCGCACCAGAAGGATCCTTCCGCCTGGCAGTCTGGGCTCTACAGAAACCTGCTCAGTCTCCCCGATGAGCACAGACACCTGCACCAAAATACCATGTCAGTAAGTAACAACAGCATCCAACCTTACCTCTTTTACCCCTTACAACAAAGCACAGAGCTTCCAGAAGAGCAAGAAACTCCCAACAAGGCCCAAATACAACCTGGCAGAAAGCCTGGTTCATCAAGCTCTCTCGGGTAGGCAGGCACATACAGACACTCATCACGTAACCATCCAGCAAGGAGCACAAGAGCCTATTCTCAACACGCTGCAGAGGACAAGCCACAGGGTAAAATCCTTAATTAGTAGTAGCAGGAAAGCTACTTGGACTGGAATTAGGCTCTTCAGCTACAATGAATTAACTCTCACAAGCACCAGGGAGGACAAGTTATGATCAGTTAATTGTTGGGAGCCGCAGTGAGGAAGAGAGTAACATCATGGCGATGGTACAGACAGGAGACTGCAGATTGAAAGGACTTACCCAAATCACAAAGGAATCTCTACCAGCCACAGGATTAGAGTGCAGAAGTGTTCCCAGCAAAACGGCGGATTTCTATAATCCGGGATAACTCACCACAAACAAAAAGAAAGCTCTCCCAGCCACAGGATTAGAGTGCAGAAGTGTTCCCAGCAAAACGGCGGATTTCTATAATCCGGGATAACTGCTGGAGCGCTAGTCATAGGCTTTGTCTCAAACAAAGTACCCTTAACTCAAGGTTTGCTTTCATTTTTAAAGATACAATTTTCCTCAGAAATGGCCTAAAGAAGTATAGGGGAGCATGCATTCAGTATATATGTTAAACCTCCCTCTCCTGCAGGCAGGCATGCGCTGGGTGCAGTGTGTGAGTCTGCCTGGGACTAGACATGAACACAGGCATGCAATTCCTGCTCTCCCGCATCTCTAGGCAACCTATATTGGTAATCCCAGGCTGGAAAGAAAAAAAGAGACATAAAGCAAACAACACGGGCAGGGCTGGCCCCCGACTAGCCACAGCGAAATCGCCATCATTCGGTTAATCGTTCCGTTATCGGTGCTGTCCCTCTCGAGAAGCCTGACAGCAGTTATTAGGCTTTGCAAGTAAAAACAGTTGAGAGCATTAGGCAATTCTGAAGTGTGAATAGCAACAAACCCCATCTGTCTTGGGGTCAATACAATAGCCCAGGCAGAGCTGGGGGTAATTCAGCTCTCCTCGTACAGAGAAAGCAATGGAGACAAAGGCACCATTGCCTTGAAGAAGCTGAGGAAACCTCCAGTGCACTGGGAGACCAGGGCTACTAGCCCGGGCATGGTGGCATCAGTACAGCGTGCTGGGCACTGGAGCGACAGAAAACTCACACGACACCTAAGCTAATGCAGTTCTGCAGCACGACTGGCCCGGGGATCAGAAGAGGCCATCACAGTGGATGGAAAACTTGCCCCTGGGCCTTTCAAATAACACGTTAGTCATGCTAGAAAACTACAATTCTGCTCCAGCTCTCAGGTTTAGAAAACGCTTCATTCAACCCAGTGTAGTTTGACTCCCCAGATGACTCAGCCTGTGGTCCTGAGAAAAATCTTGTTTGAGATGCAACCAACCTGGATGGAGATATTAATGATGGAAGAGAAATCCATCACCGAGCTCTGAAATTCCCTGCCACCGCAGGTTCCCAAATCGCTTTCGACAAACCCATCAAATTCCTCCACAAAAGCACTTGGGAGCATCTGCCAGGAGAACCCTGAAGACTGGCCCAGAAATCAACAGCTCTGAGAACTGAAAATCATTATCTTTTTCCCCAAACTAATTTTATTCATGGCCATTTTATATTTATTTCAGACAGCTTTTT